TAACAACCAAAATGGAGGCGATTATACTGGAAGACCTCCATTAAATCTACAACATAATTATGGATCAGATAGTTCCGGTGGGTCTAATTTTATCTTGTTTACTATTTGATTCATGTAGTTAGTTAATTTAGAATATTTCGCTTTGTTATGGTAGACATTTCTATTAGTTTATTATAACAAATTTTATTTAAATAGTTAAACCTTTTTTATGGTTAATAATAAATCATAATTATATCCAAGATCATGGAAGCAGCTATAGTGGTTATTCTTTGTCTAGTATTGGAAGCGATAGCATGAATTCGAGAAGCCAAATAATTGAAGAGCCAGTGGAACACACACAAAATGAAAGTTTTCGCCACTATGGCAACAATGTTGCAGACTATTCTAGAAGCCATTATGGAAGCTATGGTTTTAACAATGGCGGCAACTATAGTGACAACTCTGGTAGTAACTTTGGCACCAACACCCATGGAGGTAATCATAGTGGCAACTATGCTTACATGCATTGGCAAAATATTCTAATAATATGTATAAATATAGGTGGAGCACCTTCAATTTATCCAATGCCTGATCAATACGCAAACATTGCTGATAACCATGATGATAGCGAAGATTCGTGGTGGAAGTCATTAATTTAAACAAAAAGCTAGTGTTTTGGAAATCTTTTGAGGATGATTTTGGGGCAATTTTTTATTTACGGATTTTTTTTGATCAATAGAAATATCGTCTTACCCTGAATCACTAATTTTGAGTTCTATTCGGCTCCAGTGATCTTTAGAAAGACTTTATTTTTATGCCGATCTGGCTTAAATTCCGGTACTTTATTAATATCCCTCCCCCCCCTCCCCCCCATTAGGGTCGCAGATTAATTTGCCTTTTTATTTTTCCTGCCTCGGAATGGTCAAATTTCTTTAAATATAAATGTTACCCTAACTAACATTAATCCCACTTCTAACTAACATTAATCCCACTTCCTTTGGTCGTTAAAAAGACGTTATTTCTATTATACCATATGGGGTTTTAACTTGGTAAAATGGGCTCAAAACATTATCTAAGGATTATTTTATGATATTATTATGGTTTTTGTACGCTGATATGCATGAGAAGTACACATCATTATCATGTTGGAGGTATTTCCGATTTATTAAATTTTTGGGGGAAATTATTTCTCAACACTCTGGAGGTATACTGGTTATTCAAAATTCATTTGCACTGATTTCCAAAAAATCTGATAATAATAAATGGAATAACCTCAATTTTTAAAATGCCTCATCTATGATAATGATGATGATTCGTGGTTTTGGTTTTAATTCAAACATGAAGATGATGTTATGTAAACCTTTTCATGTCATGTTTTGATCAGTTCAGGGTGGCCCCTTCCAAAACACTAAAATAGGGCGCAGCCACTCAAAAATAGGGCGAAATCGGCCAAGAATAGGACAGTAATGGATATTCGAATGTTTTCAATGAACCGACAACCAAACAGTATATGTATGCTCGACTAATTACCCTATATACATACTTATTGGTTCTACCCAGAGGTGGGCCGGAACAGTCAGAGGTGTCGGAAATCGGAAGAGCCGGAAATCGGAACTGGCTCAAAAGTCGGAAATCGGAAATCAAAATTTTTTTCGGAAATCGGAATTCCGACCCACCTCTGGTTCTACCTCTCGAGGAGTAGTTAATTAATCGAATGAGGTAATTATTTGAGAGAGGGTTATCGAGCATATACTGTATTTAGCGCTATTTTTAAATTTGAAAAAACTGGTTTTTAACATTAAATTCTTATTTTTTAAAGGATTTTTATTTAAGAATTTGCATTTTTTAAATCTTGATTTTTATAAAAATTTTTTTTATTTCTTCAAATATTCTTGATTATGAGTAAATATTCTTTTGAAAATTCTAAAATAATTTAAAAGGAAATATTTTAGCTAGAAGTCATCCAAGCACCTTCTGTTAGCTCTAGCATTATTTAAGTTCCGACATTTCTGGCTCTTGGGATTTTTTGTTGTTCAATGTTTCAGAAGCCTGAAACAGGAGAAAAACTTTAACCACGATTAAATTATATTTTATTATTTAATTTAATTTTAAATTTATTTATTTATTTAAATCTGTTAATTTACATTATTTAAATCGATTTCCCTCTTATTAAATTCAATAATCAATAGAAAAATTGCCATAGTCTGGCAGAGAAAAAGATTTTTTAAGTTAGGAGTCAGAGTCAGACATTAGTGTTTGACCAGCTATTTTATTACTTTATAAGTTTATTTATAGTGTTAAATGGCAAGTTAATATCGGGATTTTATACCGTTATGTTGGAAAGATTTACTTAATAAAATTATCTGTTTGAAGAAATTTTCAATATGTAATTTATTATTTCACAACTTTAAAATTGTTAATTTTAACTTTGAAGCTTGGCATAGGGATTTGAGACATATCTCTCCTAATCGACCTAAATAACACAAAAAGTGTAACTTCAGAGTTGTAGAAAAATCTTCGGATATCTGTAACCGAACCGAAGAACCGAACCTAGAAATCTTTAGTTTTTCGGTTCGGTTCGGTCATGAACCCATAATTATTTTTGACTTTGAATGTTGATTTTTCCTATCTATACATCCAACACGGAGCTTCTGCTTAAATTAAGCTCCATTAAACAGCTTGGCACTTCTCTTCTATTACATAACAACATTTTCTATTTTAATTACTATCGACTCAATTGTTTTCTCCAGTTCTTCCAACTAGTTGACGCTTCTATCAAAAAACATGAATGTTCATAACCAAGCATTTCAAACAATTTAATTAAAATTCACGAGCCTTAGACGCATGCTCTCCCTCTCTTAATTCAATTTAATGATCAATTCTCAATCAAATGACTTTCCATCAATATTTAATTGACTTTCCATCAATATTTAATAGAGATTTAAATTTTACATCTACTGAATGTGAGAGTTAGAGAGAATTAAAGAAAAACAGAGATAAACATGTAATCAAGATGCTGGGCATTCACGAGCTCTCTCCATTGGACGAGCTCTATTTAAAATTCACGAGCTCTCTCTTTCTTTAAAAAATTCAATGATCAATTCTCAATCAAATGACTTTCCATCAATATTTAATAGAGATTTGAATTTAAATCTATTGAATGAGAGAGTTTGAGAGAATTAAAGAAACGTTAATCAAGATGTTGGGCATTTATTTAAGCTCTTGCTATTATTCATACGGGCATCGCTGCGATAAATCCCATAAGTCTCTCCTCACTGCTCGTCTACACATAGCATTCTGATTAATAGCTTTTTTATTGTAGAGAGTGTTGGATATTGTTGAATCTCTCTCCATTCTTAACATCCCCCACTCCTTAACATCCCCCTTCCTATCTATCTCCTATAGAAATATGCGATAATACGCAGTCGCATGGAGGTGTGGCGTTTGAATTTTTTAGAGGATATTTGTCAATAAATAGCTGTCCAAAACTGGCAACTCCTCAACACTCTTTACGATTTTTAATATTTTAAATTAAATTATTCCTCTTGAGCGTTTATAAATTTAAATAGGAGTTAAAAAATTTTAATGTTCCTATTGATACATTTTAGTATTCTATAGAAAGTTTTTAATAATTTTTAATCCAATTAAAGAGAAAACTTTTCAACTCCTTAAACGATAATTTTCCGAACAATTGGAATGAAATTATCTTTAATTTTATTCTGTATTGTCATCCAATGGATGTTTAAAATTGTTGTTGGATCTGACTTCAAAGTCCAAGTGTTACCAGCTGAATATTCATGGAAAGTCAGTGTAACATCTGAGGCTTTACGTGTGACCAACCCCGAACAAGATTGAAGGACAAATACGGGTTTTTAATAAATTTAACATACCGTATTATCTCTAATTGAGCGGAGTCTCTATTTGAACGGCAGCCTCAAGTAGAGCAGCCCTCTGAGAGGAGTGTGGTGACGCCCAGACTCAAATGACTTTAAATTAATTTAAATAGATAAATGACATTTTATCCCAATTTATGTTTTGTGTTCTCCCCTATTTAAGAAATTCATTTCTCCCCAAAATTGTTCATTTGTTCATTCTTAATTTTGTTTCTCACGGGGGACTGAAAAATAGAGCGGCAGCCGCTCAATTAGAGGAAATACGGTACTCCTAAAATAATTTTGACAGTTTTTTAATAAAATTTTCTATTAAAGTCGCAAACATGGACACTCTCTCCAAAGTCAAAAAATTCATCAGGATCTGGAAATTTTTACGATTTCAATAAACTGCATCAGTTCAATTTTGGACAATATAAGCCTGTTGGAAACAGCTTATATCTGGACATTCTGGTATAAAATTTTTATTGTTATCTTTATATTCCTTACAATATACAGTCGTGGAAAAAAGTATGGAAGCGCTAGAAAATTTTTTCTTAATTCTTAATTTTTCATTCAAAAAATACGTTCTATATACCAATCGAAAGCTCTATTCATATCTCAGTTGACATGTTTCTGCATTTTTCATGAAAATGAAAATTGGCCGTGGGATTTGGTATATCCGGTAGATCCGGATTATCTCGGCCAATTTTCATTTTCATGAAAAATGCAGAAACATGTCAACTGAGATATGAATTGAGCTTTCGATTGGTATATAGAACGTATTTTTTGAATGAAAAATTAAGAATTAAGAAAAAATTTTCTAGCGCTTCCATACTTTTTTCCACGACTGTATATTTGAATATAAACCTGGTTTCTTTGCCAGGGTATAGCCCAAGTAGGCGCGCGGCCAAGTAGGCGCAAAGCCATAACTTGCTTCAAGATTTTTGAATCTTATCAAATTTAGTATCAAACGATTCCTCTCATCGAGCTAAAGAGATTTGTACCAAAATTGATAAGAGTCTGAAATTCTCCAGCTAGTTATGGCTTTGCGCCTACTTGGCTTCGCGCCTACTTGGGCGTGTCCCTCTTTGCAATTCTATCCTAAATTGAAGTGGTTATTAAAATTATTATATCATTAAACAATTTCAGACAATAAATGCTCATACAAAGAATGATAAAGCAGTTTCAAATATAGATGATAAGTTAAAAAAATACTTTGCATCCATTTCCATATTCAAAGAAAAGATTGAATTGACTCGTGAACAGTTTTATGGAGATGAACCAATTCGACTGGATTTGATCGGAAAGAGTTGTAAATCTACATTTATGGAAAAGTTATCTTCGACGCCAATAAAGTTTATGCGAAAACTGGGCAGTAAATCGTTGACAAAAGACACTGACGAAGTTAGTGCGATAGAAAAACACATAAAAAACATCAAAGATTCAAAGCTTGAAGTAACTATATACATGGTGAGCTTACTAAATCTTTAATTTTTAAAAATATTAGTAAAATAATTACTATACTTTCATAAAACATTAAAATAATTTCCATAAATTTTGTTCTATTTAGAAGGCTAAATGTGGTTTATGCAGCTACAATAAACAAGCTCCATTTTACGAGAAAGTTTACTTGACAAATGTATGGAATATATTAATTTTATTTTTTGATTAATCATTTTAGGGTAGTTATAGATGTCAAAAATGCTTTAAAGAATTTGTTGAAGATAGAAAGTAAAATTTTAATATTATTTTGGTAGAAACCAGGAAACTATTTTAAAAAATAATTTAATAAAGTTTGGAGGTAACGAGCTAAAAATTAATATAATCCACAAATTTAAAACATGCATACATACTACTTATCACCTCTAAAATCACCTCTAAAAAATTTTTAAATTTATCACATTTTAGTCCCGACCAACCATTCAACGATGTAAAGATAGAACTTCCCTCGTTGAGCCGTACAATTAAAAATCCAATTCTACAGGTATTTAAAATCACAAGTAAAACTAAAAACACTTTTAAAGAACGGCAATGGTCTTGGATTTACCTACATATTTGATTTTTCGAAAGAACAAGATGAGAGTATAAATTTGAATTTTGTGCAACTTGTCGATGTGCCTCCAAATAATTCGCATAATGAAAGTACTTCCTCAAGCCATGTTCCTGAATATGGATATGAAACTCCGATACATCCTACAGGTGTTTCTACTAATTTCCAAAATCTGATCTTGAATGATGAGGATGGAAGTGGAAGTGAAACAGAGAGATCTAATTATGCGTCTAAGCATGGTGGACAAGGAACAAGGTATTTTTAATCAGTGCTAGTAGCTCCGGAACCGACTAAGATTTTGAAATTTCGGCGACGGAGCCAAGCATTTGAAATGCATGGCCGAAGCAATGGACTAAAAAAAGTTTGTGACCTATCCAGCAGATTCCTAACACCCAGCAATTTTTATATATTCACTGGAATAGTGTTTAAAATATAGTAATAATCCAACGACTCTTCTGCCCATGGAAATTAACCTTTCGGATACAGTAATTACTTTTTGTTCCCTTAATAATGTGTAGAATCATGATATATACAGAGTCGACATTTCACCATGTTTAAATATAAATTAAATTTTGAGTTTTTAGACTTGATTTCAATGAGGCAAGCAGCAGTTCTGGACATAGTACAAAGAAAAAAAGTAGCAGTAGGCCTCCCAAGCCAGTAAGCCCTCCAACGAATCATGGAAAGTAAGTTAATTAGATTAATTTAATCTCGTTTAAATGCCATTGTTAAATAAGTTTTATTTTTTTTCTCGAAAACAAAAACATGTGAAACAATAAAATAAATGCTCTTGGATCTGGTTTGATTACATGAATAGAGACGGTCGGTAATGTATTACAATGGCATTTTTCGGCATTCAACCGAAAATACGGTCGAAATACTGCCCAAAAATTCTCAAGTCTATTATGAACATTTTTAAAAATTAGAATCACGTTAACTTAGCTAAGTTTATTAAAATTATCAGTAGATTAAAGGCTATTTTTTATTTAATTTAAAGTCCACAAACAAATTCGGTCAAGCCTCAGAAGGGAGAAAAAAATCGACCAAAATTGAAAAAAATTCCAACTATGCCCGTTGAAAGAGGTAAGATTTGAATGCTTTGATTACACGAATATCATTTTACAACATTTTATTTTTAAATTAAAATAAATGCTTTGAAAAATAATTTAGAACAAGAACATGGTTCAAATAGTCATGGCATTTCATACGGTCATCCTGACTTCCATGGTAAAATAAAAAGGATAAATAAGCATTGTTTTTCTAAATTTAGCTCCTCAAACGAATCACAGAATTGATCAAGCTTTTGGTGGCGGATGGGTTCATAACGGTCAGTTTGTCCAAATGGGTAGTGGAATGTCTCATCCAGGATTGACTGGCGAAAGTTCACATGCAGGATATGGATTTTACAACAACGGAGAACATCATTGGAATGATGAGTTTGGAGGAATGTACACTTACGGAGGTGCAGACAAAACATTTCGAAGAAGTTCATCTATGCCTGTGAACAACATAAATGGAGGATATTATACTGGAGGACAATCATCTAATCCATGGTCAAACTATGAAACAGATACCAGTTCTGGTAGGTTAAAATTTAATTTTTTGTTTCGAATCGGGTCGAATTTTGAGATTAAATCCCCATTTGTTTATAAAATCTCAATCATTAGGCGTGTAAATTTGTTGGCGGTTGTCGCGCTACACTTAGGAAAAATGGACGCCAGACGTCAAACGTTATGACGCTCAGCCCTGCTCTTATGTCGTTAACACTATGGTTGTCGGTTTCAAACCGAACCGAAATCCCCAAGATTTCCGGATTGGGTATTCAATTTGTTTTCGGTTAACCAAAGAATCTGGTGAGACCGACAATTCTAGTTGACATTGTTTTTGTTGGTGTAATTATTAATTATTCATATGTATTAGATTATGGAAGTAGCTATGTACCGTCTATAAATGGATATGGAAGCGAAAGCTTCAATTTAACAAACCAAATAATAGAAGAACAAGTGGAACACACGGCCAATGCAGATGAAAGCTATAACCATCATGTTGAAGTGCAGCATTATAATGACGGACAAACTGTTCCTAATGATGGCAACAGCCCTGGCGTTTACTATGACGGAACTTATACTAATGATTATCAAAGTAATCTTGATCATCCACACTTTCAAAATCACCAAATGAATCAACAATTGAGTGAAACTGAGTATCAAGAAGATGATCCCAGTTGTCATATAATGTAAAAATTATATGAAGTCAATTTTCGAGGAGGTAACAAGAATGTTTTGAGAGAGAAATTTTTTATTTGATTATTTTTTGGCAGGATTATTTTCATTGGATTGCGTTCACATGATTTTACAATATTGTTTTTTCAATATTGAGTCTACTCGATTCCTTCTTCACCCAAACTTGTTCCCTTTTTCGCCTTTTGCTTTTTCGATATTGGGTTTAAACGCTTTCATTAACACATTGGTTAAATTTCGAAATTTTATGCAAATTAGATGGTAACATGTATAGGAAAAGTCCTGATATAGTTTCGGATATTTGGTAATTATTTTGAACAGCTAACCGTAAGAGTAAAGCTCTCTATAAGTAAATTCCCTTCTGAATCCTTCTGTCATTGTTTGGTTGTTTCTCTTAAAGAAACTCAAATTTTTTGGTATTTATTCTGTAAGGCATTTATTTTTTAAAGATTTTTATTTACACTTGGGTTGTCGGTTCAGAATCAAATCTAAAGGAAAAATCGAGAATCAAAAAGACTGAAACCCAAAAATTATTTTTTCAAGAACTGATTATTTAGCTTGTTCCCTGATGAGGCTAGAAGGCTGGATAAACTTTTCGGTGACGGTGTCGGGGGACAATTTTTCGCCACGGAGGTGGGGGACGGGGAACAACCCTAGAACCGACAACCCTATCTACGCTATTTTTAAATCCTAAAAAGATTGGGTTTTATTATTAAAGTTTTTCTTTTTAAAGTTTTATTTAAAGAATTATGTTTTTAAAGCCTTGATTTTTATAAAATTTCGGTAAACTTTTCTTTCATTTTTTGAATTATTCTTGACTAAAAGTAAATATCGTTTTGGCTTGTTTAAAATAATTTTAAGACAAATAATTTTAAAAAATTTTAAACAAAAAAATTTTCTGGAACCAACCCGGGCCTATAACACTAAGTATATTTTCAAGTTCCTTATGTCTGGCTTTAGAATAATAAGATAAATTATTTCTGTTTTTCGCGTAGGCGAAAATTTTGAAAAGCTTGGAAGGCCAAGAAGCTGGATTTTTTCAATTTTGGAAAATTACTGAGCTACCATGTCTTTTTCCTTTATAGTTCGTTTTAATTGCTGAAATTAAAACAGTTTAAATGCTCTATTTGAATCATCCTTACCCTGTTTAGTTCTTGCCTTGCTTTAGCTCAGGCATTTCCGGCTCCTGCGCAGTTTCATTTTTTTGCATGTTCAATGTTACCGTATTCTGAAACAGAAGCAATACTTTAAGAAGAATTAAATTATAATTTATTTTTATTTAATTTATTTAATTTTCAATTTATTTTATTAAAATTTAATTTTTAATAATTTTCAAATCAATTTCCCGATTATTAAATTCAAGAATCGATTAATTTAGGGGTTTTTCTTCCAGGGATTATAATTTTGGGGTATTGAAAGTATATTAATTCGGTTCATCATTTTTAGGGACAGCTTTTAATGTACTTTCATACGAGCTATCGATACTCTATATACGGTAAGATTTTTGAAAAAAATTTTGTTTTACCCCAATTAATTTAGGGGTTTTTCTTCCAGGGATTATAATTTTGGGGTATTGAAAGTATATCAATTCGGTTCATCATTTTTAGGGACAACTTTTAATGTACTTTCATACGAGCTATCGATACTCTATATACGGTAAGATTTTTGAAAAAAATTTTGTTTTACCCCAATTAATTTAGGGGTTTTTCTTCCAGGGATTATAATTTTGGGGTATTGAAAGTATATTAATTCGGTTCATCATTTTTAGGGACAACTTTTAATGTACTTTCATACGAGCTATCGATACTCTATATACGGTAAGATTTTTGAAAAAAATTTTGTTTTACCCCAATTAATTTAGGGGTTTTTCTTCCAGGGATTATAATTTTGGGGTATTGAAAGTATATTAATTCGGTTCATCATTTTTAGGGACAACTTTTAATGTACTTTCATACGAGCTATCGATACTCTATATACGGTAAGATTTTTGAAAAAAATTTTGTTTTACCCCAATTAATTTAGGGGTTTTTCTTCCAGGGATTATAATTTTGGGGTATTGAAAGTATATTAATTCGGTTCATCATTTTTAGGGACAACTTTTAATGTACTTTCATACGAGCTATCGATACTCTATATACGGTAAGATTTTTGAAAAAAATTTTGTTTTACCCCAATTAATTTAGGGGTTTTTCTTCCAGGGA